TTTGGACACTATGGCTGAATTCATGCAGTGCTACCTGACTTCTTGTGCCTGGATGGGCCACTTGTAGGAGTCTTAATGGAACAATTTTTAGGTAAGTTTTTAGGTATCTAGGCCAAGACAATGTTGCATTCTAAAATGTATGCATAATCAGCTTCCTTGGGACTTTGTGTCTTTTTTTTCCCTGCCTTTTGGACTGTAGTTTTTACATACAGCACTTAGTGCAGTACTCAATAATTAACAGAAGAACCTAAAGATTAAAGAACATTGCTTTTCAGCAATGTTCCTGTCCTCTAGGTAGACAGTTTAGATTTTTACTTGGCATTTTGGCTTTTGGGAAATCTCCACAGGGCAGGGAGTTAAGCTTGCTCAGTCATCCATTTTAATTTTATTTTTCAGTCCACATCTGTAGCAGATTATTCAAAGAGAAATAATATGTTTTAAGGAGGTAACTTCCTGTTCAGTGCTCAATAGAAAACTAAGTGATAGAATCAATCCAATTATCAATTTATGCATTAAGTGCTACCACTGGCACTTTCAGTAGTTGCTGAAGCAAAGAAGTGAATTGATTATAAGAATTAAACTTCCTTCATATGCCTAGAGGTGAACAAGTCATGAAAATGGAAGGCTTATTTGGTATGAGACAGTGTGAAAGACTAGGAAGAAAGACAAAAAAAAAATGTATTATTTCTAACTGGTTTCTTGAACTTTTTTTCTGTAAAGTGGGATTTGAGCTATAGACATTTATCTTGAAGCTTACAGGGCAGAGATGTGACCAAAGAGTGAAGGTATGAGTGTGGAATGAAACATACTTGGTTGTTATTTAACCCAGATTCCTGAAAGATTTTTTATTCTTCTTTTATGAGTCTGATTCTTTAAAGAAAATAATTCCTATTCATAGCAGGTTCTTTCTCTTGTTCTTTTCTTAACCTTTTGGACTTGGAAGGAAGTTGTGGACTTCCCATTGAAATGGTAGGAATACTGTGTTAGGCCTTCAGCAAAGAAACACTTTCTGACCTGATTAGCCCATATCATCCTGCCAGGCTTTCTGCCACTAAAAGAGGCACCTCCACTGGTGTCACTTGTTTCTAGTCCTCTTGTGCTGTATCATGCCTCTTGAAACAGCACTGATTGGGGAAAGTCATGGAAGTGAGCAGCATTCACATGATAAGGCTGATAATGACATTGGCGTGACTCAAAAACAAAAGCAAAACAGCTCATATTTTAATGTTAAACGAAAATAAGGTGTTACTGTTGTCACCAAGAGCAGGCCAAATCCATTCTTTTGCTGGTTTTAGGTAACCACATCTGAGGGGAGTGTGTACACGTGTCTGCTCACACACATGTATGTATAAACATACACCTGGTTTTGCTGCAGGTGCTGGCTGATGAGTAGAAGTAACAGAGAATTGATATATAGGAATACTGGGAACCTACACACTGAACAGAACAGAGTATGGCAGGGCTTGGTTTGGTATCAGTAGACTCAGAAAGGGAGGGTTCACTGCAGCCTGTGGCAGCATTTTTTGAGTTGTTTTTTTAATTCCTCATTGTTTTTAATTATTTTTTTGTAGGAATACTTTGGAGCCAGGCCATTGCTTCTGTAAATCTTCAGATTTCCACTGAAGTCACCAGAGTGGGATAGCATTTTACACACCTCAAATAGATAACCTTCTGTGTGAAAACATTATTATGGTGTCTTTGGTCATACATTGTTTTTAAACAATGGTGGTTTTGAAATGCCAATTTCAGTGGTTAAAACTGCAATGGTAAAAGTCTTTAGGATGTCTGGAATCCAAACATTTTAAAGAAATACAGAGAATTTGATGAAAAATATGAAGATGTGTAACTGGGATTTAAAGATAAATAGCAACCTGAGATACCTTTTTTGCTTGCAGCTTCTGCCATGGTAGGGTCCTAGTTGAACTTTCTGCCCTCACATTTTCCCTAGGAATGATACATTTTGTTAAACAGGCATTCAAAGTGGAGTTCGTGTTTGTGAAATACTGGGAGTAGCCAAGAGGAAGTCTTCTTGTGTTTTGGCACCAGAACTGTCTGGCATGTGGATCTTTAGGGAGACACTTGAGGACTACAGATTTTTTTAACAGGATGAGACAACAGAGATTTATTACCAAATGTGGTCCATCATCGGGGGCTGAAAGGGAATGTATTGTGTAAGATGACAGTGTTGGTGGTGTGAGTGCCATGCATTCCTGAACTTTGTTCGTTTTATGTGGACAAGTATCTGTATCTACAGTTACAAAACTAGGTAGAAGAGACATCAAGGATTAAACAATGAGCAAACAGTATTTCATTTCTACGGATGATATTTTCAGCTCAAATCAATATTTTTCAGTGCGTTGTAGGATTGAAAAAGGGTAATCTGTTGTCATGGCCATATTATGTCTCCAGTAAACACATGCTGCACTGGATTTGCAGCATGCACAACTATTAGAATTTTTTTTTTTTTGAGTAGTACTTGATTTCCAATATTGCTGGTGATTATAAAACCCAACCCCCACTATATATGCATGTCCTACTAAGCTTTTCCTTGGTTTGCATAGTAAGAGGATCTGGAGCTCCCCATTGTAGTCACTTCTGAGAACTCTAAACAGGGAATGGCAACAAAAAGTGGAATTTTGAGTTTTAACAAGAGACGCACTATCAATTCATAGCAGGTAAAAGTGAAAAATCCCTGTATCAAGTACAAGAAGTTTGTAGTACCATTTGTATTGTTTCCTGTTTGAAAGGTAAACTGAACAGACCTTCCCATAAAGAGCAGCGTACATCTGCATGGCACGTTGGATTTGCAATCTGTAGACTCAACTAGTTAATATGCCAGCTACTGATTGGCTTTAGGTTCTGTTTGTCTTCCATTGCTACATTTGCCTGGAGTGTTTTGTTGTTGAGAAATTTGGGACTTTATTCCCTGAAGCAGGCTAGATTGTTGATGCCCAAAGTTTATTTGAGAAGGAAGGAGTGTATAGCTGTAACACAGTGTGGTAATCTCAAATGCCTGACTGACTCAGTTTAAAAGTTAAGACTTGAGCTTCACAGCTGCCTTATGTTTGCAGATTTCTGCCCTTCTCATAGAAACTATACCCAAAAGTGTGCAATTGCAGATGAGTGACACATCAATCAAAATTTGTGCGTAGTTGGTTATTTATTATGGCACTTAATGTTACCAATTCCATCCCTTTCTCTCAACCTGCTGTTCTCTGGCTCCCTTGTTTCCTGCAAGCTCTGCAGAGCAGAGCCGATCAGCTCAAAGTGCCTTATGCTAGGCCCACAGGAGTCCTGTACTCAGGAGCTGACAGCAAGAGCCAGCTGGCAAAGCCCAAGTCTGAACCACGGAACCCCAGCACCTGCTGCATGTGTAGCATGCCAAAAGGAAGGAGGGTTATGTAAATACCTGCTTTTATAGTTGCCCAGATACACCACTTTAACATATGCTGAAGATGTATGCACAGGATGTATGCTGGGGCTGAGAATGTCTGCCACAGCCCCTCCAGTCCCACTGGCTTTCCCTCCCATTATTACAGCTGAAAGAAAAACAGTTACTGAGAAGAAATTCTTTACTGAGGGTGGTGAGGCACTGGAATAGGTTGCCCAGAGAAGCTGTGCACGTTCCATCCCTGTGAATGTCCAAGACTATCTTGGATGGGGCTCTGAGAACCCTGGCCTTGTGAAAGGCATCCTTGCCCATGGCAAGAGAGTTGAAAGTATATGATCTTTAAGGTCCCTTCCAACCTAGGCAACTCTATGGTTCTATGATGTGATGATTCTGTGATTCTGTGTGCTGTGAAATAGCTTTGACCAAAATAACCACACCCTGCACACCTGTGCCATGCTGATAAAGCACTTTTCTGCCCTTTCAGGCAGAGGACGGAAACTGGAACTCCTGGGTGAGTGCTAAATAGTGCACAGACTTGGAGGGGCACCATGAGCCTTGCAAGGAGATGGAGTAGATGCCTAAGGAAAAGCTGAGGATCTGGAATTCCACACAAGGTATCTTGCCTCACCCCATCATTACAATGAACTCAGCAGTTGATGAGGTGCATTGAGAGATTTGTTGGCGTGTCTGAATGGTACTTGCTGAGACATTAACAGAATGGACAATGAAGCTTACATTCTTAGGCATTCTAATTTTTGCCTTCAGTGTGCACTGGGGCAGGGTGTTGTAATTTGGGGCTATGGATTTAGGCAAAGACCCACTGCAGTGCTCAGCTCTGCAGCAGCCAGGCCCATTATTGAATCTGGCCTCACTGCAATAAGTGTGAGTAATGGTAAGAGAGGCATGAGAGCAGAATGACTGTACAGGGGGGAGAGCTGCTCTTGAGTTGCTAGAGTGAAAAACATATTTGTAAAGGGATAAAATTAGTGCTGGGTACAAGAATGCCATTTAATGAAACAAATGACTACACTGTTCAGGGGCAGGAAAAAACATGACACATCACAGATAACCAGCAGTCCCCCTCTCCTGTCTCAGGGTTGCTGCAGAGCAGACAGCATTTCTGGCAGCACTGGGGAGGCTGGGATGAAAAGTAGATCCCAGGGCTGAGGCTTCCCGAGTGCTGAGACCCCTGAGCCACAGGTGCCACTGTGGGGACAGTGAGTGACTGTCTTGGGTGCTTGCCTGTGGACTTGTAGTGAGAAGTGTTTTCCTCAGGTACTGAGAGAGCAGGGCAGGAGGGAGACATGGGAATGTGGTCTCACTGAGATGTGTATTGCTTGTGAGGTACTTGTGGCAGCAACATCACAGAAAAACTTCGTAATAAAAATCAAATGCTTCTTCTTATTGGGTGCTCTTTTATCCTCTATTCATTGTGGTTTATTGCTCCTGTGCTATATTTTTGTTTTCTTTGTCTCCTTTTGATGTCGTCATCTGTGTGGTTCTATGTCCCTATCTTTGTCCCCTATTGCATTTTTTAGTCATGCCTGTCACTACACCTTCAGCTTTCCTAAAGACTTCTCTCTCATCTCTGTTGTGATCTGCTGTACAGCTTAGCCATGATCCATATAATGGAGCAATGTAGCCAAGCTGTGGGCTGACCGAGGTTTGCATCACTGCCCTGACCCAGATTGCATCTGCAGTCATCTGGAACTGACTACACGCCTGAACTGATGAAAGAGGCTGTGGCAATATGGATCTCTGGGGCCTTGGCAAGGTATCCTCATATGTGTATGCATGTTGATGTGTGAGTACACTCAAAATGCCTGTCTGTTCCATCAGCTCAGTGACTGGGTGCACCTTGGGGATTTGCAGCAGCTTACAGCAAATGGGAACAGACCTGCAAAGCTCCTGAGAATACTAGGATTAACCCTGGAAAGGGGGATAGGCCTGTTGCTCAGGAACGTGTGATGCCCATAAGCAAGAGATGCAAACCCCCTCATTTGACCTTTGTATAATTCTTTCCCTTCCAGTGAGTCCCTTTCCCTGCCTGTGACTCATCTTCTTCTAAATGTAGACTGTAAGCCTCTCAGAGGACTGCCTTTTTCTCCAAGCAGGGTAGCATAAAAAATAGCAACACTTTTGAATAACCAGTATGATTTTTTTAACACAAAAAAAATGGAGGACTGCCTTGCTTTGTCTGTGCTTCTCTGTCAAGGGGTTTATCAGTCCCCCTGAGAGAGCAGTGGGGCAGGTTCTGTACTGACCTGCAACAAGAAAGTTGTTCAGACAAGAGGTCTCAGGAGCAGCACAACTGCAGTGCAGTGAGCAGGAGATGTTATAATAAAAGATGGGTAGACTCTCACAGAGACCAACAAATCTTTCATTGCACCCACATACTTTCCTCCCTATTTCTGACCCATTTGTAAATGTCAGCATTCCCTTGGTAACTGCAGTGCAGCTTACAAGAATGTCCAGTAGGAAGTTGCCTGCTCCCTTCAGCAGGTTTCCCAATGCTCATCTCCTTTCCTCCAGCCTCTACATGCACTGTCCAGCTGCCCAACTTTTCTTCTAAACACTTGGTGAGTCTGGTGACCACTGTTACCTTCCATCCTTTGCTTCAGCTCTACGATGTTGCCTTTGACTTGTAGTAGATCTCTTTTCTGCCTTTTCTTTTTCCAGATGCCAATGCCATATTCACCTGTCCTCTGGAAGACAAAAGAGTGAGGATCAGCAGTGTCATTTATTCGGCAAAAACTGAACAGATGAGAACTGCCGTGACAGCCAATAGACGAAATTAAAAATTAAGGAAAGGCTGATATGGAACAAGAGGAAAATTATCCCAGCATTTTGCACTTTTTGTAATCAAAGTCCTGTCTTTGGAGGGTGTTATGTCAACTGCACACTTGGTGAGGCCTATAAGGATTTTCCTTGTGTAATACCTGCAGGAGTTAGGCCTAGCATATCACACTATTCTAAAAGTGATGTCCAGTAAGCAATAGGTGGGCTCTCTTGGGAAAAATGCAGGAAGAAAACTTGGTGAGAGCTAGATCCTCTGCAGTGTTGCCTCTCATGAGGGATTGACAAAAGAAAAGAAAAAAAAAAAAGGTGAACTAATTCACCATGGGGATGGAAGGATGGATGCTTCCTGTTTTTTTCATTGCAAAGTGTATGATAGTTTCATGCCTTTAATTGACATCAGTGCAGTGTTGTTGAATCCAATGGAATTTGAATCCCACTATGAATTTGTTTTCCACAAATAGATTATGAACAGAAGCATTTTATTTTTATCAATTATGTATTTTTGAGTGAAAAACTATTTTGTGTATATGTATTTAACAGCAAGAAATGTAGCAAATGTTTATTTTTATTAAACAAATAAAAGGGATAAACCTATCACGGCAAATTTTCATTTGATTTCTTAGGTCTTGTTCCCCTTAACATAGACAAGAGGTCTAGTGTGCAGCCCCAGGTATCTCAGGATGCACAGTTCTTTGCATCAGGTAGTTGATGTCATACTAGTGTGTCTTGTTTCTAAATGAGAGCTGTGAAGTGGCAGTAGTGCTTCTAACTGCATTCACAGGGCACCACGGTCAGGTTGTGGCCCCAAGTTGCAATACACAGGGTACTGCTTACCTGTTCCAATTAAGGTGGCACCTTACATCAGCTCTTTCCAAAGTCTGAAGCAGGAAAAGGTTAGGAAATGTGGAATGAGATGAGAAACTGTAGAGCACTTGTAAATCCATTGTGGTCTGCAGAGGTGGAGCTGCAAGGGGAGGCCAGGCCTGAGGTGTGCCAGGATTTGGCAGATTCGGCTCCTGGAGGCTTCCTCTGCCATGGACATGGCGTGTGGCAAGTAGCACAAAGGAGTTGGATGAGGGGAACATAGCTGCAGCCTGGCAGCTGGTACAGCTTGGAGGTCTTCAGCAGTAGTGGCTGCATTTGGGTATGACCTATTTGCCAGTCCAGGAGAGAAAGGAAAGACAACATTAAGACTACCCCCTGTGCTACTTGTCATTTATAACTCAGATGGATATGGATCTCCAAAAAACCTAATCTAGAGAAAGTTTTTTACTGCTTCAACTAAGGTCATTGTCAAATAAGTGGTATAAAGGCTTGTTTTCTAGAAAAAAAATGTTGACACTGAAAGTTGCAAGGGGCTCCCTTTAAAAACAGCAGTCTCCTAGACCTCAACTGGTCTTCTCTGACATTTCAACTGACCCACACCTTACACCACATTGCCGCTGATTTTCCATGTTGCTCAGCCACTCCTGCCGTTTCAGCCTGGTGAGGCAATACATCTCAAGCATGAGGTATTTCAGGCTTCAGCCTCCCACACCCTACATTGCCCCATCTCCTCTCCATTGCCCCAGGCTCCCTCCTGGGAGGGACGGAAAAACCCGGGCCGTGAGGTACGAGTGCCATGGCCCTAGCAAGTGGCGGGAGGCGGGACAGAAGGCAGCGGAGCTTTGTGCCCTTCACCACCACGGAAGGAGCCACTGCTGGGGTGTGTGTGTCATTTCAGAGGGGTCTCCTATACTCCTTCCGAGTCCAGGCGTTCCTACCCCAGCGTGTGAGGGGCTCTAGGAGAGTCGTGTCAAGCGGGCAAGTGAAGGGCGACGGGGCAGGGCAAGTTCAGGCATGGCACAACAAGTAGGCAGCTCACTGGAAATATTTCGGAAGCCTCCACTGCCCCTGGATCTTGTCGGGAAAGACAGATCGAGGCCGGCCGGACGGGACGGCGCTGCCAGCCCCGCGGTGCGTGGGGTGCAGTGGCAGCTGGGCTGTGGTGCTCAGCCCCTCTTTTCCCGGGATGGACTTTCCCCGGGGCGGCTTCCCTTTCTCTGCGGACCCGTGCCGTGCCGTGCCGTGCCGTGGCGATCGCGGCGCGGCTCCGTGGGCGAGCGCAGTGCGGGGCTGGGGGAGGGGAGCCGAGGGACATATTCGAGTGCGAGGCGGAGCCTGAGCATTTTATGAATGGGCTCATATGACGTCAGTGGGGGCGGGAGCGGAGGCTCCGTCTTCCACCAGTCCTGCGGGGTTCCTGGGCGGCGGGGCCAATCGAAGTGCGGCGGCCGGGTGACGGCCACGTTCACTGGCCAATGGCGGCAAGAGAGCGGTGCCGACCACGTGGGGCGCAGGCCGCAAGTAGTACGGGGGCGTGTGGCCGCTCGCTGCCTGCCCCCCCCTTCCCGGCGCGGCGGGGCCGGGCGGCCCCAGGGCGGGCGGGCCCGGCCGCGTTGCCGGGTTACCCGGTGGCTGAGAGGCCCCTCCGCCAATCGCGGCGGGGCGGGGGCGGGCGCCGTGACGGTTGCGGGGCGGCGGTGGCCGGGAGGGCTCAGTCCGGCCGCGGCAGCCTCCGCAGCATGGTGGCTCCCGCCGCGCTCCCGGCCGCCGGCCTCTTCTACTGGGTGGGCGCGCTGGGCGCTCTGTACGCGGCGGCGCTCGCCTCGTACCGCCTGCTGGCCGGGCTCCGCGTCTGGGTGCTGGGTAGCGGCGCCGCCGCCGTGGGGCCGGCGCTGGGCGCCTGGGCAGGTGAGTGCGCGTCCCGGCCGCCCCCGCCGCGGCTCTTTCTCTGGTGATTCCTGGGCCGGGGCAGGGACCTCGCTGGGGACCGGCCTCGGCCTGGCGGGGAGGGGGACGCGGGCGGCGGGGACGGGCCCTCAGAGGGACCGGGGCAATCTGGCGGAGCGCCCGTGGGGCGACAGCCGGGTCCCGGGCGGGCTGGTCTGGGCCAGCGTCTGAGGGACCGGCGGGTTCCACTGCTCTGCCGAGTGTGCCCCCGACTAGCCGGGAGCCGCTCTCAAGCTCCCCAGGAAACGTGCGGGACCAGAGCACGCCGGTCGGGTCCGTCCTGAGAGAAGCGCCGATTGTTGGGACTTGCGGACGGGCACGGCGTGTGTGAACTTGGTGTCTGCAGGGCGGCGGGTCGCGCAGCGCGGCTCCGGGGCCGCTCCGCAGTTCGCAGCGCGGCCGGTCGGTGCGCGCCGCCCCCTCCGCGCCGGCCTCGCGCCTCATCGCTGACGTCAGGCCCGCCCCGTCCCCGCCGCCCCCGGAGGAGCGGCCGCTCCCGGCGCAGCGGAGGCCGCGCGGCCCCTGCCCGGCACCGGGAGCCCCGCGGGCGAGCGGCGGCAGCCGCGGGTGCCCAGGGAGAAGAGCTGTGCTGGAGGGCGAGGGAAGAGCCCTGCCGAGAGCGGCGGGAGAACGGCGGAGCGGCGCGAAACTTACGCCGACTCTGTCTGCTCCTGCAGCTCGGCCCCTCCTCGGTCCCGGGCCACGCTCGGGAAGGGGCTGAAGCACGAGTGGCCCTCCCTGTGGAGGGGGTGACAGTAGCGGTGGCCGGGAGGGGGTGGCGGCAGCATTTAGCTGACATCCCTGAAATACAGGAGCGCTGTGGAAGTACAGCAGAGGCTATTACCGGGGTAATTTCAGTGCTACGCTGCTCTTAACTTTTCTCACTACTTCGATTCCTGGCTACGGGAGCCGCGCTGGGAAAGGACAGTTTCTTCCATCCGAGTCTGCCGCTGCCTTTAAGTAATGATGAGATGATAGAAAGGGCTTCTCTGCTGGTGTAACAGATCAGACCAAGGGAATTTTCAAATCTATTATTGGAAAAGTTATTGGAAAGGGCAAGTTTTGTGCTTGATTGGGAATTGATAAGATGGGCCACAAAAATAGTTGTAGCGTGTAAGGGGTGTGAGTTTAAGGTGAGATGACACTTCAAAAGGCTGCAAAAGGTATTTCTTTTCCTCAAGGGGAGTAGGAGGACATCAGGTGCTCAGCTGCTGCAGCTGCTTCCAGGTGCCAGACCTGTAGGCAGAGCAGCCCTGCAGGTTGATTGCTGGGCTTATCACTGTGCTCCCCCATAACCTCTGCAGCCAGCACAGAACTTGTATGTGAGCACATGCCTGGGTAGTTGAATGTCTGCTTGTGTGAGACAAGTAAAGCAGCACTGCTACTCACAGCATACATAATGCCAGAGCATGTCATGAGTCCTGTGTTTACAGGCTTGAAGTGCAGCAGCCGTGCCTTGGATAGGTAACAGCTTGACATACAAATAACTAAGGCCCAGGTCTTCCTTTCAGCTGGAGAAACGTTATGCCTGTTAAAGATATGGCTGGTACAGATCACCCAAACCTTCTTTGACTTTCTAATATTGGTTTTGAATATATTACTGCATTATCAGTTGCCTGCTGACTTGTGGTGCATCACAGAAATCTTGGTGGCCCCTTGAGCTTGTTTTGCATTGTTTCAAACATGGAGGTCTGCAGCGCCTGAGCCTAATGCCCGCTTATCAGCTGGAACCACAAACTAAACAGCAGATCTTCCCACAGTCACATCCTCAAACATCCAGAGAAGTGCAGTTCTGTCACTGTCTCGAGCAAGTGCAGGCAGCAGTGGGCCACTGTATGTGGCCAATGGCTGCTCACAGAAATTGTTCTTTCTCTGCCAGGATTGTGATGTTCAAGGCAGGGAGGAAGAGGAGCACTGGCAGCACAGCTAAATTCTGTGTTTATTGCTCTGCTCTGAAGTGGGGGCATTGCTGCAGTGTCAAGGAGAATGGAGGAATGAGGTGATGATGCCTGCTGTCACTGTAGGAAGACATGTGGCCATCATGAGTTAGCTGTTGAGTGTCCTCTGTGCAGCTGATGCAGGTGAGGTGCTGCTTTATTGGGACAGCTGCTGTAGTCTCCAGCTGAAATGAAGAGAGGTTGCCTTAGTCTGAATGGGCACTGGGGTGGTTTGCCCTGAAGTGTGTTGTGGCTGGGCAGGCTCTCTGTTTTCTGTCATGGAAAGGAAGATGGAGGCACAGCTGCAGATATGTTGGGTCACCTTGATTAGCAAATTACTAAGTA